GGAAAGGCGCGTCTCGTGGGGCGCAGCGCTGGGCGGGCGCTACGTCCTTGTCTGCCCCAAGGTAGGCGCGTGCCCTTTGCTGACCTGGCCCCAGAGGCCCCCTCGCCCCTCTTCTTCCCCTCCTTCCCTGCAGGAGATTCTCTGGGACCTCTATCCTAAGAATAACTTTAGAGAAACGTCTTGCAGAGGGCTCGGCACTATAAAATGGCATCTCTGCCTTGGGGGGGAGGGGAGGAGGGACCCCAGTTTCTCCGACCCCGTGCTTCTCAGCTTCTGGAAGTCTTTGAGGCTAGATTCAGAGCGCTTAGGTCCCGAAAAAGGTTTCTTTTCCCTTACCCCACCCTGTAACTCAACAGGCGACATTCGGGCCAAGGACTGCCTGCCGTAATCGCCCCTTCTTTGGGTATAAAGAACAGTGGTGTGTTTGACACCTCCCTTAGTCACCAGGGCCTCATTTACAAAGTACTCAAACTTCACGACATCGCCATTCAGTAGGTCGTTTTCGTCGGAGCCTTTGAGGGCCTCAGGCACTTGCCCACGAACGCAGCTAGGGAGGTTGTAAGCGTCCAGCTGGCGGTGTCCTGGAAGGGAGGGGGTCGGACGCGTCTTGGCTGCCAATCCTAGAGGAGCTGCTCCTATATCCGCCTCCAGTTCTTTCATGTGCTCCCCCAAATCTTAAACCCAGAAAACCCCAAACTTCCAACATAGACAACCCCTAAAGGCTGCCTTTCGTGGAAATGAATTTTGCTTACAAGAAAGACACTTTTGCTGGCGTGGATGGCGGTCGTAATTTGGAGTAAGAATTTTCCATTCTGAACAGAGAACACGTCCTCCCGCCTTACTTCGCCACTTCTAATAGCTACTCTGATCGTGAGCTAACCACTTAATTTCTTGGGGCCTCAGTGTCTTCTTTTGTAAGTTGGGGGAGGGGTTGGAGATTCTGGCGCTGCCCTTGAGCAGGCTTCTGGGGAGATCAAAGGAAATTCGGGCTGTGGAAGGCTTCCTAGGGTGGGGGTGGGGGTGGGGTGGGGGTGGGGGGGGTGGGGAGCGGATGGAGCCATGATTAGCTGTCGAGTCCTTTCCCAGCCGTCACTCGTTTAATCGTGTTTCTCTCGCTTGGCAGAGGGCGCCAAAGGCGACGCGCCAAAGGCGACGCGACGGCGGCCAGCTCCAGGCCGAGCCCTGCGTGTCTGAAGGAAGCGGCCCCTCCGCCGGCGCAGGACACAGAGCTGCGAGAGGATCTCGTTCAGCGGGGACTCAACGCCAGGGCGCCGCCTAGAGGTCGGCCGCGGCCTCAGCCTCACACGCCAGCGACCGCTGAGCTGCTTCCCCAGCCGGAGCCAGAAATTGCAAAAAAAAATTAATCCAGCTCGGGTCTCAGGGACGCAGCTTCTGGCACCTCTACTTCTCTGAGATCCAACCCCCCAACAACAATGAAGCCTAGGAAAGGAGACGGGCCAGGAAGGCTCAGAAACTTTTATTCTTGGAAAGGGGTCTCAATTTCGGTTTTTGTTTTGTTTTGAGGATCCTGTGTTCTCCATCTGTGTCTTCATTGCCTCCTCTCATCATCCAAATTGTCCAGCCCCCTCCAATTATGCTACAACTCTGTTTTATCTTCAAGGAGGGAAGGAAGTAGGGAAAAGTTACCCCTAAATCTTACAGCTTGGTCATCTGCATTTTCAGTTTTCTGAATAATTTGGAGATCGGTGTGCTTTTGGAAGAGTATCCAGAAAACTGTTGAGGGTGAAAAGAAACGTTGCCTAAGTGGCCTTTACTCAGAGTGATCATCAGCTCGATAATATCTGAGTGACATTCAGGAGGGGGCTTGTTGGCACGAGTGCCTCTGTCGGTGGGTGTCTGAGCTGAGTATTTGAAAGTTGACTGCTCTGGGGCCAGGCGACCTCGGAATGAGAAGGCTGGCTGGCATCTATGGGAATGGGTTTGAGGTGTCATTTGGCCCCAGGCAGAGAGTTTTATTTTTTAGGCCGGGATCCATGGCCTGGGTTCTGGGGATGTGGGCAGAGGGAAGCCACAAAGCCCCTGAAAAGCGTATGCAAAACTTGTGTATGCACAGGTGTGTCATTTTAAGGCTGTGGCCTCTTCAGATTTTCCAGAGTCTAAGACTCTAAAATGGTTCAATCTCCTTTCCACGGCCCAGGGAGCCACAGAGATCCTGGTCAGCAAGGGGCAGGGAGCCAGCACACTAACTTGCCCCCGCTTCAGGCCCTGGGGTGGGGCAGGGGCTCTGGAGTAACAGTCTTGACTGGTGTGGAAACTGCTGGCCTCTCAGTCTGGCCCTCCGCCCATCGGTAACAGCTCCCAGAGGCAAACCCTGATAGGAGGGGTGACAGCTGGTGGCTGCCATCACAGTATTTTTAATAAAAATATAGCATGATAAAGAGCGAAATAAGGGAGTATGGGGCACATAATGAGGAGGGGAGTTGGAGGGGCCTCGCCCCCAATATCCTGGAATATGAACGTTGGGATGGAAACAAGCTACTTCCTGTCCTCCTGCTGTTCAAGAGCTGTCCCCTTCCTCCTCCTTGGTGCAAGGAAGGGGCCAGAGGTGCCCCCACCCCAACCGGCTAGGGCAGAGTGGGACTGCCTGCAGCAGAGTTAGCGGTTCAGAAAATTCAGGAACTGTAGACCATAGCCTAGTATTTTCCCTGGCCATTCCATTTTTTGTCCATTTAAAAAAAATCCCCTGCAGAGTTTTGGCGCCTTTTCTTGGAAGAGAGGGTGGAGCTGGCTGGTTACCCAGGGCCGCACCTGTGTGTGTCTGTGGAAGGGAGGTGCCCTCAGTGCACCAAGCTCCCACATGGGTCTGCAGCTGGGCCTCCAGCCTGTGCCCAGACCTGTCTGGGCTGTAGCTCCTCTTGGCCTCCAGTGCCTCTTAGACCTGAACCTTTGGTATTTTGGGGGTGAATAACTGTGAAGCATGATCGAATTCCTTGGCTCTCCCACCAAGAAGCGCACCTGACCAGGCCCCTCCAGCAGACAAAGTGAGCAGGAGATCAATGACTTCCCTCCCAGTTATCTGGAGCCCAAGGCAAAAGGGGATTTTTCTTAGTTTTGGTTCACAATGACCTAATTGCGATTCCAAATCTGGATTCCACAAAGTTTTGTGAAAAAGCAAGGGGCAGAAAAGAACTGTGGAGAGGGTAGTGGAGGTCTGGGTGGTGGTGTTTGATTTTGAGGCGGTTAGGGAGCCGGAGAGGAGGCGATGGCAGTGCTCTCGGCAGAGGCCAGTTTGGACACAACTCAGCGCCGGCTGGTCGCTTTCACTCCAGCGAAGACCGGCCCCTCGGTTTCTCCTCTGGGAGCCCCGCTTAGCCCCTTCAGGCTTTCTGACCCCCTGTCCCCTTCCAGCAAGTCCCTGGCAATAAACGGGCGGGACAGAGCAAAGGTCTGGCTGCTAGAGATGAAAAGGAGAAAAAAACCCGCTTTCTGCGGAAAGATGCAAAGCGTGGAGGCCCCAAGGCGTGGCGGGCAGGGCCAGGGCTTCAGCAAGGAGGGACCAGGGCCCTAACTCCGCTTGGGCGAAGGGCTGGGAGGCTGGTCCCGGGCGAACGGAGCCTGAGGATGTGCGGGGCTGGGTGAACTTTCCGTTTAGGCGGTGGCTTTCAGTCCCGCCCGGCGACTCCTCCGAGGGACCGCGCGCCCGGCGGCGGGGACGCGCGGCCGAGGCCGCTTCTCTGCACGCGGGCAGCAGCGCCGGCCGAGAAAGGGGCCGAGGCGGGGGCTTCCCCGGCTCGTAAATTTGTTTCCCCTGCCTTGTAACCCGCCCCCCCGGCCGTCTTTCTTTTCAGGACATGAGGGGATGTAAACCGTTTGAAGTTCATCAACATGGTGAAGTTTTATTGTCTTTCCGGTCCCCAAGATTTATACCCGGGAGGGGGCGCGGGCGGCCGGGCAGACTCCTTCGCTCCCTCGGACTTCCCCGCCGGACACGTGGCCACTCGGACACTCGCCTCCGGGGCGAGGGCGGGAGGGAGCCGGCCGGCCGGGGACGGGGAGGCTCGCGCCGCACCTTCCGACGGTCGCTCCCGCCCGGCCCGCCGCCGCCGCCGCCGCCGCCGCTGTCCAGGTAAGTCGGCCGCCGGCCGGGGCGCGGTGTGCGCGCGAGCATCTGTGGGGATGCGGGTGTCGGAGAGGTAGGGGTGGCAGAGGGGGACATCAGTGGGGGACATCAGTGCGGGGCGGCGAGCGAAGGGCCCAGGCTGGAGGTCAAGAAGGTGGAAGCGAATTGGTTCTCAGCCTCCCGGTTTCTTTCGTGGATTCGGAATAGATTGTCTTACCTGGGACAGCTCAGCCTCTGCGGAGCCGGCCCCCGGACTTTTCGGGCAGGGGGACTTCACAGCGACTGTTCAGGTCAACTCGCTTTCCCTTCCAGTCGTGTTCTTCCGTTTGCTCCCTAGTGCTCCTGATACTTTCTCACACTCTGCTTTTCCGTCTGTTTCTCCGACCGTCACCTTCTCGGCCCTCCTCTCCTCTCTCCTGTCTGTATCCCAGTCTCGAAGCCGAGGTTTGGGGTAGGGCTTGAAGATTCGGCTTCTCAGAGTTCCCCGGGGTGACCCTGGACTACAGGCACTGAGCAGACGGTGAGTGTAGACCACCTGGATAACAGTTTGAAGTGAAGAAGTCTTTTTATCTATGGAGACCTCCAGCTGCTGAGACAGCGGCTGAGAGGGGGTGACCCAGCAGGTATATCCACAAGGCCCTGCCCAGGCCTGGGGCTGGGTCCAGGGTCCCCTCTAGCCAGGGCTTCCGGAAGAGAGCAAAAGTTTCTGGCATCTGAGCTGCCAGGACTGGTTCCAGATGGTTGTGCCTGGAGTCCTGCCTCCAGTTCTTTGGAGATGTTGCTTGCTGGCAACTGGGTTCTGTTGGGGAAGAGGTGAAGGAAAATGAAGTTAGCCAGCCAGCCGTTTGGGCCCACAAAATGGCTGCAGGGACCTGCCCCCAGTGAACCCTTGACCTGGAGCGTGAACTGGAACTGCTGAGTGAGTTAGGTAGTTTCATGTTGTTGGGCCTGGATTTCTGAACACAACGACATTAAACCACCCGACTCACGGCAGTTACTGCTCCTCGCTTAGCTGGAGGAGTTGGGGGGGTGGGGAGTGAAGCAGAGTCACGACTAGTCTGTCATCCTTGCAAAATGGTGAAGAGGTTTGAGGTCCCTCACCCAGGAGCCGTAAGGATGTTCCCCAGAGAAGAGACCTGGGAAGTTCTTGGTGTCTTCCCTGTTCTGTATTTTTTTAGTATGTGTTGGGGGGGAAAGGGGGGCATTCCACTCTCCAAAGGCACCTTGCTGGGCTGTTCTGTGCAGCCAAAGGATGATAGTTGGGGTTTCAAGCTTCCTGCGTTGAGGTCTTGGGCTCCTATCTACATTCAGGCTTTCCAAAGAAAGTCTCCTCAATTTGACAAATGCTCCATTTCAAGAGACACAGGGGGTCCTTGAGGTATTTGTAACCCTTTGGGGCACAGGGCTCCACCTCAACAGGAAGCTTCAGGTCCTTGAAGAGGGCTCAGTATGTCCCATTCTGAAAGGGAAACATCAGGATCCCTTGCAGTCTCAGCCTCTAGGCCCCCAGCGTCCTTCCTAGGGCCCCCTAGTGGGACAGATGTGAGTCAAAGTCTTCACTTTCCCAACCCCTCAGTTGGCTCCTTCCCCACCAGGTGGCCAAGGCTTCCCCATAGACCCTTGGGCTGGGCTGTGGGTTTACATACGTCGTCGGAGGGCCACCCCCTGGGTGAAGGGCCTGACTTATGGCTAGTGGGGACCCTGGGCTGTTGGGCAGCTCAGTCCAGACTGATGGAGTGACAGGAGATGAAGCTGGGGGTGGGGCAGGGGCAAAGCAGTGATACCCTCTTTGACCCCAGCCCTCTCCAGGCTGCTGGCTCTTTGCCCAGGAAAGGAATAACTAGAAGTGCTGGCAGAAGGAGGGGGACGCTCTAAAGCATAAGCTAACTTTTGTTCCCAAACTTTTTCCCCCTGCTTGAGGCAGAGGAAATATGGAAAGGGGCCGGGGAAAGAGGCCCCGACCGGATGAGGCTCAGGCGCCAGGCTGACTTGGAGGGTGAGGGGTGGTCTCTGAACAAGAGGCCTCTGCTAGGGTGGAGGGGCCCTGGGGAGACCCACCCCCAACCCAGAGGAAATGCAGCATTCAATCCACTGTCCTGGTGAGCAAAGGCCACAACGCTGTCCCTTGACATTTTATTGTCCTCTGGTCTGGGTGAAGATGGTCTGGAGTATCCTGCTGCCTTGCCTTCCTTCTCCCTGGGCCTCTCACAAACCTGCCCAGCCCCTTGGAGCCTGACTGTGCCTTGGCTCCCCCCTCCCAGGAATAGTGCTGTAAAAAGAAAAAAGGGGGATGTTAGAAAGGAGGAAATAAAGTCTTTGGAAAGCAGAGAGTTTTACAACAGCCACAGTTTTATGGAAGCAATTCCGCAATAACCTTCTACCTGCTCAGCTCCTTTCCGCCCCGCCTGCCGCCCACCCCGTTTGGCCTCCTGGATGCCCCCCTCCCAAAGAGCCAGCCACCCCCTTCACCCTCCATCTCCCTGATGGCTGAGAGTGGGTAAGGAGATTCTCGACGGCTGCTTGGGCCGCTGACCTCTCCGTCCTTCCCTTCACCTCTGACATCCGGGGAGGGAGGTTTGGCAGAAGATTTCGTTACTTTGTAATTAAAATCCCCTCGTGGAGGATGTGGAAGCACTGAGGTTGGAACCCGTGTGTGCAGATTTGATGTGATCCATTTGGTATAAAGGGTGAAGGTTCTGGGGACCTTGATTTCTTCCCCTCTGGAACAAGTGTCCCCACCCCTCATTCTTTCCCAGAGTGGGTCTGGACTCTGATCCTGGGTCAGAAAAAATGGCTCTGGGTTCTTGGAGACATAGACTTGGGGACTTTCCTAATTTCGTTGTATACAGCAATGTGTTTGTGTGACCTACAGAGCTGGCTGAGGGCTTTCGCATTCAGCTCATCTCTGCCCACTGGTCAGATTCACACTTGTGTGGGACACACTTGTGCACAAGTAATAATGTCTTTATCCCCGTGCCATCGCTATCACAAAATAAGCATCATATGATGCGCACTGTCCCTCTAGTTTTGGGTAAGATACGCAGGAAAGGATTTCATGGTCTGACAGAAAAGTCACAAAATTTCATGACCTCCCCTAGGCAAATTTGAGGTGTTTCTTTCACTTTCCAGAGAAATATTTCAGAAGGAAATTGTAAAAGCATCCAGACTTAAGTCACATGCATTTCTTTGGAGTTACGGTATATATTTTGCTTGAATATCAAGTCAACAGGCAGATTTTCAAGTGAACCTTCTGAATCAGCTGATGTTTTATAGCCACAATTCAAGTACACAGATACTTAAGTTTTTGCCCTTTGCATAGGTGTGTGATGGTTATAAAAATGTACACACAAGCTTTTGGGTCATATATCTTCTTACACAAGCAGAATTGTAAGCCCATATCACACACAAGGGTTATACACGCATCCACATATGCACCATTACAAATTTTATATATGAACGCCCAAGCACATCAGCATTACAGTTGGGCAGATTTATTTATTACATATTGTATACACAGCATAGCGCACAGCCCATTTGTACACTGGGCTCCCCATGAAGCAATATTGATTTGAAATATACATGCAGGATACACACATCTATTCAAATACAGCATGCGTAAGTTTCAGCTTAGCATATTGATTAAAAACAAACTTTTCCCCTTTTCCCATTTATTGTTTTCCTTTTTTTCCTTCTCTAATTTTCTTCCCTCCATCTAGATTTTCTCTCTTCTTAACAGGACCCTTCTAAAAGCCACCCCTAAAACACGGGGACTCACCAGCTGGTCCTGAGCAGGGTCGGCCTCTGCTCTCCCCACCTCGGCCTGCCTCTTGGCTGCTCTGGGCCCCAGTGTGGCCAGGGGCTGCAGCTTTTCCCTGCCTCCCCTTCCCCAAGCTTCTGGCCCCAGCTGTGTTCAGGCGCGGCTCCTGTGCAGGGAATGGGAAGAGGCTGCGAGGGAAGGCAGGGTTTTCCTTCTTTCTCTTTAGGATTGGGGGTGGGGTGGGGAGCCATTTTGCTTTCTCAAGACAAGGTGGCCCCCACTGAAACAAGCCCTCTATTAGGCGTCTTTAGAAACTGGGCTCCAGAGTCCCTGATCCTGTTTGCCTCCCTCCATCATGATGGGTACCATTTCTCTGGGAGAGAAAATAAGGATTTGGGGGTGGTCCATAGGCCCTCAGAGCACCCAAACTCTCCGTCAATCGACCCTTTAATCATTTGCCTGAGCTGGAGTTGAGCTCCAATTTGGGGCAGCAATGCTTTCTAGAAAGCCTGGCTGTGAAGGCACCCATTGCTTGGTGCATCCGCATCCCCACTTGGAGGGAGAAGAGCTGGGATGCAGACTCCAGGGCTCGGGCGCTAGTTCATTCTCCTCCCTCCAGATCCACCTCTCCTGAGAAGACTAAGACCTCTACAACCTGTCATGTTGAAGTTGTTCCCACCCTCCAGCTTCTTTGTAAGGAAAGACTAAGCTTTGCTCTCAGAAAAGAGGCTTGGGTCCCCTCCTCACTCAGCACCCAGGAGCCACCAGGAACAACTCAGACAGCAACCCACAAACCTGAACTCTGCTTGCTGAGTGACTCGGCCCTGGTGAGGCACAAACCATGAGCTCTAAGGTTCTTCCTCCTCTAACTTCTTCCCCCAACTAAGTGGCCCTCTTGACTTCTCTCTTGTTGCAAAGAGAAGCGGCGGCAAACCAGGGCCTGCAGTGGAACCAGAAGGGCTGCCGTCAGAGCCCAGCGCCTGCACAGCCTGGGTCTTAAGAACAGCCCAGCGCTGTGACTCTTCCATAAATAAAAAAGCCCCTGGCCACAGTCCACATGTCCTTTTGGGCCCTAATTTATATACTACAGAAAGTCATATACTCAGCCCGCCATGCTTCATAACACCGTTATTTATGGCAGGAGAGTTTTTTTTTTTTTCCTGAAGAATATATTTATTACAGGTAAAGCCAACAGCAGACTCCATGCGTCTGGCAAATCGAGAACAGGTGCCTGGCCTTAACTGTGATTCATTCGCTCTGTGCCCAGCTATCTCGCTGGCGAGTCCGGGGAGCTCCCTCGACGTTCCCAAGAGTCCAACTGCTACTTAGAAGAATTTGCATCAGACTTTTGTTTCTCTACTTGGGTCCCATGGAAAAAGCAGATCTTCACGCTGTTTGGTTCCTGATCTGCCCGGCTGTCGCCCTCCGAGAGCTGGGATGGAAAGGGAGGGGGCCGTCTGGGCGCCGGCATTGATCTTTAAAAAATCATTTTGAAATCGCCATAATGTGAAGAAATATGGCGCTTCACCCTCGTATTTCACACGTAATGACATGAGATGGCTTCATTTGGAAAGAAAAGCGGGCGGGAGTGTGTCTGTGCGTGTGCGGAGGTGATCCTCAGCCTTCTGCATGGCAGAGGGGTACACGGCCCAAAAGATAAAACCTCGAATTAGAATGGCCCCGCTTTTGTTAAAAGGACCAGGCTGGGGGCAGCCTATCTTATCAGGGCTCAGGGTCGGAGAATCCCGAGAAAACCCACCCCAGCATGCCCCTAAATCCAACCCGAGGAGAGTCGGGTCTGTGCAGAGGCCGCGCCTCCCAGAGCGTCCAGGACACAAGAAGCGGCGGCACCCAGGACAGAAGCTGGAGCAGCCGCGGCTGGGAGATGAGCTAGTGGTCCCGGGGGAGTCCCAGCGCAGGGCCGCATAGTAGGTACTAATAAAACAAGAGATTTGGAAGCTCCAGCCAGAGTCCGCAGGAGGAGAGGCGGCAGGAGGGCAGGAGACTGACCCCGCAGGCTCTCCATCCTCGCTGGTGTCCAATACCGGCGTTTGGAAAGCTTCCCGAACGGCAAGGCCGAGTGATAGGAGCCGGAAGGAGAGGCGAAAACTCGGACGCGGCTCCTTCATCACTGGGTGGAAGGGAGATAACACGGGGCCTCCGCTCTACTGACACCTCACAGAAGTTCCCGTCACCCTTCTCACGTTCAGCTCCCCCATCTGGGCAATTCTA